AATTGAAAGGATTTAAAAGGGAAAGATGTTTGTTGCAAGTGTCAAGAACTCTTGAATATCTATTGATAGTATAATCTATTGATAGATAATATGATTTATTAAAATTTTTTATCTATCGATAGATTTATCTTTAGATAATATTCTTTATTTTTATAAATTAAAGTTGAAAATAAATAGTTAATAATATTATATTTTTTAATATTTAAATAATTAATATAAAATATTATATTATTTTTAATATTATTATTTATTATTTTAATTATGTAAAATTAAAAAATAAATTTTATATTAATAATTATAAATTTATTCAATTTATATATTTTTTTATATATAAACGTAATTTTATCAATTTACTTTATATTTTTAATAAAATATTATAAATTAAATACTATAATATAATTTTTTTTAATTACAATCTTGTAATTATTATTATTTTATTATATTAAATATTATAAAATTATATTATCAACATTCACATTTATAATAATTATATTTTTAATAATATACCAAACATAATCACAAAATATTTTCAACTGATTTTTCAAATCAACCATATTAAATTCAAGCCGTCCTTTCTTTTCTTGAATTCCTTAAAACTTTCCAAGAGAAAGTGAAAAAAAGAATGAATGTAGTAGTTTAGTTTGGTACTGGATGCCTATTGCATATATAGCCTATAGGCTCTTTCCATGAAACAATTAAAAAAGACCCAAAGCCCGGTATACTGAGCAAGAGGCCTAGGATTAAAGCCGAGTCCAACTTTCTGAGTAAAAACCAATTTTGGATTTGGGAGTCATTTTTTAAATAAAAAATGGGAAGTCAAAAGCAGCAAGCAAAACAACAAACGAATAAAGAAAACAAATGGAAAAAACTGGATCCGCGACAGCAGTAAACAAACTTGAATCGCATTTGTACTTACGTGGCAATAGCCGTTAGGACATAAACCTGAATCGCAACTGTGCTTACGGTGGTCCATAACCATGTGATTGCCCCATTCTTTTAAACAGATGAGGCAACCATTTTTAAACCTCCAAGCTTTCAATCAATCACTTTCTCTCACCCCAACAAATCCAAAAAGCAAAAAAGTGAAAAAAGGAAGGAAAAAATAAAAAACATGTCATGGTTAGCTCGCTCGCTGGCGAACTCCCTTCGTCTCGACGACGACGACGATGACGATGAATCAGCTTCTTCGGGAGAGGAAAACGACGTCGTAACGCAGGAGTCTCTATCATCGCCTCCTCCGAGGAACAAGATTCAAAACGAAGAAACCAAAGCGGGAGAACAATCATTGTCCCCCGAACAGGTAGCGGAACTCCAATCGCGTGGCGTCAAAGAAGACCTAACTGAACTCAAACAAACCCTAACACGCCAACTCTTGGAAGTCGCTTCCTTTCTCGCTCCGCCACCTCCTCCTCCTCCTCCGCCACCTCCGCCTCGTTCTTCTAAGCAATTCAATCGTCAATCAAATGATCGATCATTCTCTAATTTGAATCAGTTTGAGCCGTCGAATCAATCTATCTTCTTGGACGAAGAGGATCCGTCGGATTCAGCGGCGGTTGCGAGGATTAGGAACGATTTCGCTGAGATCGGTGGGAGGTTGTCGAAGATGGCATCGGATTATCTTCCGTTTGGATCGGGGGAAAATGAGGAAGAAAACGAGATGGAAAATGAAAATGAGGAGGAGAATGAGGAGTTCAATGCGGTTGGTATAACAGATGAGGTATTGGCGTTCGCGGGGAACATCGCGCATCACCCAGAAACGTGGTTGGATTTCCCTCTTGATCCCGATGAGGACTTGGATGGTAATTTTGTTTATTTTTAATCCTAATTAAGTTGATCTCTTTGCATAGTACTTTAATTTGATTGTTTATTTATATGATTTCTACGCATTCACACTCTTTGCCATGGTAATTCTTGCTTTTAAGTTCAGTTGGTTAGAGTTCAAACGATCAAAATGTGAATTTTGTTTGAAATTCAAGTAAACCCTGAATAGTTTGAATTCCAAACCTTCTTGTAAAAATGCCAAATTTATTTTACCATCCTTTCCTAGGTGATATTTGCAAGCCTCTGTTTGTTGAAGACTTTGTGGATGTCGGATCATAAAGTAAAAAAGTTTATGATTGTTAAAGTAAATGTGGTTAAGATCCTAAGTCTCGGTTCCTGCTCTTGACATTATCAAATTGGTTTGAGGTTTGAACCATTGTGTGAGTGTCTGCTTCTCTCATCAAGTGATTGGTCTGAAAACATTTTTTTAATGTCTGCAATTTGATCGAGATCCACCTTCTGTGCTCGAATTTTAAATGCAGAAGAATGTTTTATATTATATTTGCTCAATCTAACACATTTCATGTAATTTTTGCCTGTTTGCCTTGCTAATTTGGATTTACAAACTTCAATTGTGGTTATAACTTCTGCGATTTCATTTTGAATATATTTATGATTTATGATGTATAGATTTACAAAATGACAATGCTGAGGTTATGCATTTCTGCTTCTTTTTTTTTCTTTGTTTCCTTGTTTTAGATTTTGACATGTCAGTAGCCCAACAAGAGCATGCTATGGCTGTTGAACATCTTGCTCCGAGATTAGCAGCTCTGAGAATTGAACTTTGTCCTTGCCATATGAGTGACAGTTACTTTTGGAAAGTTTATTTTGTTCTTCTGCATTCAAGGCTTAACAAGAATGATGCAGAGATTTTGTCCACATCTCAGGTCAGTTACTTCTCATAGAAACAAAAATCATCTGGGGCCCCATTTTTTTTTTTTTTTGATAATGCGCCCAAGTAAATGTTTGTATGATTATCACCGTTATTGAAAACTTTTAATCTAATATCTTTTTCTTTTAACTTTTTTGTTTTATTTTTCCTGGCTCAGGTTACAGTTTTATATTTTAAACTTCAATCCTGCATTGTTAAGCTTCAGTCAATATGGGATTAGCGTAGTCTGATGATTTATTAATATCACATCTTTTGAGTATTCTAGATGTTTATTCTTGCACATTACCTTTGCATCAACCCTCCAATTAGACATCCACTGTTTATTGTCCTCCAGCTGATTTAGCCCCATGGATTCCCAATTATCATTTCTGTATACATGATTGGCAATGTGCTTCAAGTGTTGTGTGAGTTCACTGATCCACTGGAAATTCTTCTATGCATGTTTTTGTCTAGATTAATCAAGCCACCTTTTATGGCGTGGTTTCATGGCTCCTATGTCGTGTCTGATGTACTGAAGATGTCAGACAAGAGTTTTATTCCTTCCTTTTTTTTCCTTTTTAAATTTATTCTTTCCTGTTTGTTGAGAATGTTATGCTAAATTGTACAAATTCCTCTACCAAATTGTTTTTCTTGGATTCTTTATGAATTCTTAGCTGAAGTTGTTATATGCTTGGTACAATTACATTTCGTGTGGTTTCATGGAAGTGGAACAAGATTGTTGATTAATTCTTTGGTGGTTTATAAATTGCTTGCAGGTAATGGAAGCTAGAGCATTGTGGATGAAAGAGCTGCAGAAGCAAACAAAACCTGAAACTGATTGGTATGGAAGAAGCACTTCCCACTTAGGAGACAGCTCTAGTATCATGCATGAAGATTTTATTCCTTCCTCATCTAGTTATTTTGCCTTTGAGACCATGTCACCCCGGACATATGCTTCTGAACCTGCATCCAGCATCACAACAGATTATGAGACTGAGAAGCATCCAGTTGAAAGTACTGAGATGCCATTCGTCGACAAGTCTGTTATGGAGGAAAAACCAGTGTCAAACACTGAGGATAAGGATTGTTTGGTTGGTCCATCCTCTAAAATAATGATTCCTAATTTTGAAGAGGATGAGATTGATTGGCCAGAGGATGATACTTCTGAATTTGGTGGTTACAGTGGGGCTGTAATTTGTGTTGAGAATGAAGAAGATTTTTCTTTCAGTGATCTTGAGGATGTTGATGATAGTAGTACCCCCACAAAATCTAAGATAGTTTCAAAAGGATTTGAAGCTTCTAAAACGTAAACCCTGTTGGATTCAGCTGGGCGTAAGCTGTGCTGGTTGGACCAAAGATGGATCCGAGAGGTCATATGGTTTGATGTAAAACCTCGGATTATGTACACCAACAACATCATGAAAGCAGGGGCAATGGTTGCAGGTGCTGAAGGTGTCTCGGGAGCTTGTTCGTATATGATGAGTGATCAATCAAGTGTTAATAGAGTGATGATGTGTTGATTGATTGTGCAAAGGATTGTTACTGAAACAATTATAGTGATTTTCCAGGGTGGAAAAACGTGGTGTGTTGGAAGCACCATGTCCAGTGTCCATAAGAAAATGTACAAGAAGTTGAAATGAAAATAGAAGCCATGAGAACAACTTAGTCTCAGTTTTCCCTATTGTGATAACAAGATTTGTACAGAAAATCTGTAGTCTAAAAGTTCCATTCTTAGAACTTGAGGTCTTCCCTTGGGTACAGGATGTATTATTCTCTAAAGGTTTTTTAATAAGATGAGATCAAGAGATTGATTCTCATATTTTTTTTCTAATGCACAGTACAAACGATCGGTGGTAAGGATCACGTAACACTTATTAAACAAACTCTTAAGATAAGATTTATTAGTACTTGAATCTGGCTTCCTGTTCTTTTCACGTGATTATAAAATAAATTAATTAATCTGCTTAAGAAAACCTCAAGTTTGACTTGGAATCTTCTATGATCTTTTATCAACTAATTGAATCAAACACAAACAATTGCTAATATCAAGTAGTCCAATTCCTTCAATTTCTTCGATCAATTTTATATGTAATATCAAGTAGTTTGTATTAGAGAAACCTATCGATATCAAATTTATTTTTCACCAATATATATAAGAAAATCTAAATATGGTTAGACTAAATCATTCACCAAAAGTCTGAGAGATTTATCAAAAGAAACTCAAAAACCAAGTAGGAAAATTTAAAAGCAGAGCATAAAACAAGCAAGTCGTTACCCGTTAGTGAACGCGATGCTGATGCAGCGCCGTTTTATAATGGAAGCAAGACCCCGACTTCTTGGAAAATTCGAGCCAGAGGGGGATTCTCTGGACCTGAAATAACTGGGAAAAAAAAGGAAAGGAAAAGGAGAAAAACGCAATTGCTCTGTCCTTTCTCTCAACTTGATCTTCTATCCTCCATTATTGTTCTCTTTCCCCTCTCTGCAACCAGGTTCGTCTTCTCACCATCCTTGCCTAAATTTAATTTCTCCATAAATAAGAAAAAGGAACTGTCGCAATTGTAACACCTAATTTTTTTTTAAAAAAAGGGAAAACACTGTTTTATTTAGTTAGCTAACCTCTTTATCTATCCCCTTTTCGATATCTGCTCTTAAATTATATTGTCTTCTTTTACTTTGAAATGGAGCCCTAGATTTCTCGATCTTAGAAACCTTATCCAAACTATAAATTTTCTGGGTTGATATCTTCTGTTTTTTTTTAGTATTTCAAAAGCCCTGGGGTTCGAGTTCTTGTAGCTCTAGGCTTTCGTTTTTGGTCAATGGATGTTCAGTTGGTGAACAAGGCGTTGACTTTTTCTCGAAGGAAGAAGAAATGGCTTATTTTGTTAGCTATTTGTGGAGTCTCTGGTTATGGGGTCTACAAGGTGTATAATTTACCCTCTGTGGTGAAGAAAAGGAACAGGTTTTTGAAGATCTTTGGAGCTCTAATTTCGTTAGCTGAATTGGTCTCTGATTCCGCGGAGACGATTAATGTTGTCGCCAAGGACTTGAGAGAGTTTTTGCAATCTGATTCTGATCAAGTTCCTAATAGTTTGAAGCAAATTTCAAAGATCGTTAGATCAGAGGATTTTTCCCAATCGTTAATTAGGGTTACTGAGGCTTTAACAGTTGGGGTTTTAAGAGGGTATAAGTCCAAATCAGGGGATGAGAATGAATTGGCAACGGGTTCGGTGAATTCCAGCTTTACTGATAGGGTAATGGATAGAGTTTTCTCTAATGCTGGGACTGGTTTTGTATCTGTTGTGGTTGGTAGCTTTGCTAGGAATTTGGTTCTGGGGTTTTACTCCAATGGTGGAGAAACTGATGGGTTGAGTGGGAATGGTGGGTCATCTGAAGTGCCCAAATGGGTTAATGTGCTTTATGATGATAAGTGCAAAGAGTTAATGGCTGAATGCATACAAAGATTTGTAAGCACAGCTGTTGCGGTTTATCTTGACAAGACAATGGATATTAATACGTATGATGAAATTTTTGCTGGGCTAACCAATCCAAAGCATCAAAATGATGTGAGAGACATTTTGGTGTCTGTTTGTAATGGCGCTGTGGCAACGCTGGTGAGGACGTCACATCAAGTGTTGACAAGTTCAAACTCGAATTCTCAGTCACGTGTGGATTCTACTTGTTCGAATATTGATCAGAGTGAGGCAGCTGGCGGAATGAGAGATGGCTGTTTTGAGAAGGAAGTACCTTTAACAGGGGTGCAAGAGGGGAGCTCATTAGATGGGATTCGGAATGGTGGTTGGGTTGAAAAGGTCTCATCAACATTGGCAGTTCCTAGCAATAGGAAGTTTGTGCTTGATGTGACTGGGAGGGTGACCTTTGAAACAATAAGGTCTATAGTGGAGTTTCTGTTATGGAAGCTTTCAGAAGGTGTTAAAACAAGCATACATGTTGTCCATGAGGAGGTTGTGGAAAGGGGACTGGATGTTATCAGATATATTGGTGCAAAGTCTTCCGTTATTGTTACCATTTGTCTTGCTCTGTACTTACATATCCTGGGTGGTAGTAGGGTTCTCTTACCTGCTTGAATGAGTTTGTTCTGTCTTTTCATGGGAATCCAATGAAATCTTACTGAAGTTGCTTATTTCAGAAGGCCCTGTTTGTATCTCTCTCTCTCTTGCAAATAAAATGTATAACTAAGGTAGTGTAGTTCATTTTTATTATTAGTTTTAGCTTTAGGAAACACTTAGCTTCCTCCATATTTAGCAGCATTATTCAAATGTATAGTCAATATTCTCACTGCTATATACCACAATTAGTGGTATTTGTTGTTACACAAAAATCAATCCCTGCAAGATGCAGATTGTATTAGCGATTTAGCAACCAAAGGAACATAGAATATTCACATTAATGTGGTTTGGGATTACGAATTCCAATATTTGTATCAATTTCTTGGCCATTGTTAATAACAGCTTGTATCATTCAGCATCACATCATACTTTTTGAACTGGGATTTCTCTGCATAGGAGGCTATTACTATACTGATTCCAGTCAGTGCCTTCAAAGAGATTTATACAGAGGCGCATCACTTCCCGCTGAGGAAAGTTTTGTTGATCTGCAATTTGGTTCTACAAAATGAGTGGATTATGGTAGTGATGATCCTTCAAATCTGGAAAAATCAAGGCATTGGTCAACCTTAATAACAAAACATGACCGAGAGACAAGTCATACCAACCACACCCAATGAATGAAGGGGATTTATGCACAAGCTTTTAGCCTAGTCTATAGTTTCAGTCTGTATTTCTCTGCGCATCTACGACAGAGTAAAGAACTAGTATTACTTCCTCAACTGAACTCTGCTTTCAAAGATAACAAATTACTGATAAAAACTTGTGGTTGGCTTTACATGATCTAGTTTTCTCAAGTTGATACGGATAACTTGAAAATTGTGTGATTGAAACAACCATCTGTATTTCTGATTATGAGAAGCAATGGAATGTTCAGAAGCAGTAATGATTGATAATTCTGTGCCAATGAAACTTCAGATGCTGGAACTTTTGAGAATGTAAGTGCGTTTGAACTGTGCAGTCTGGACAGTGGGCTCCTAGTAGGAAATTTACCAGGTGCTACCCTGCCTGCCATTAAGAAAGTGAGCTGACTCTCGAGGTCAACCAATGCATGATCTTTGTTTTGAAACTTCAACTTGCTTCCTGGTCGGACCTGTACTTTCCATCTTTAGTCAACCATCCATGTCCAATCAAAATGTAAAGCAATTCTTCCACAACAACAGATCCATAAAATATGAACCTTTACCATAACAATAGTAAGACGTTAGATATATTCAAATAAAAATTTGACCCGTTATGATTTATATCTACAGAAAGTCTAAGAATCAGTTCTGACAAAAACAATGGAGGCGGTATCTTTGCCATTTGAGGTTGCAAAAAGGCGGGTGTCTTCAACCTCGTGGTGGTTGTTAAACATGCTTTTACGACATTATTTTAATGCATATTAGATTCAATTAACTCATGAAAATGATTATTTTTTCAAAGAAAAGCAGCATACTCCTCAGAACACCTTTGAAGGGTGTCAAATTGTCATAGCCGTGTTTGGCCTTCTGCCTGCCTGTCGCCAATCATCTGCTTTGTTGGCAATAACTGGAAAGTTCCTATCTTACATGTGTGAATGTGTGGCAATTAGTCTTAATATTTGTAGAGAATCTCAATTGTTTTTAGTGACTGTTTTTGATCAAAATCAAGAGTAAGCATCTTTCCCCTGTCTCAGTCTCCCACTTCAGGTAGTCTTCATTGGCAATTTGGCGTATGTGTATTTTTCTTTCATTTAATTTCAAAGATTTTTCAAACTTGTTCAAACATTTTCTTGGCAAGTCGGTTTAAAGAAGTGGGTCATATCATGCACTCAAATGCAGGCTAGAGCAACTACAAATGCCGATTTGACAATTATAAGCCAAAAAGAAGAAATAACACTGAATAATTTCTTTTGTAATTATCCATTAAGATCACTACTAAAACAGCCAGACTGTGAAACAAAACCAGCTAAGCCATCTATCTGTACAATAACCACGCCAACATGAACTGAAATATGTTTTATTTATGGATTGATGCTGCAATTGTAACAGTATTTATTTTCTCCTACAACAAGTCATCAACTTCATGGCTTGTGATTCTGAGTATAAATATAATCCACATGAGCAGCAAGGGTTCTTCTCATCAAGCACTCCTCTTTGCCAGCTCCTTCACAGTTCTCATCGATCTCAACTTTCTCTGCCTCAACTTCCTGCATGAACAAAAAAAAACGAAACCCTTATCAATATTCATAAATATACCACAAATCTCTGCAAATTATTTCTTCATTTGGGAACACAAAGAAAACTAAACGAAAAGGTGGTGGAAAGAAGGATAGGAAGAAGAAAAGAAATGAGAGATACCTCGTGATGGGTTAAGGGTAAAGCAGGCTCGGGCCGAGCAGCATAACTTAGCATAAAATTGATGAGAAGGGCAGCGATGAAAAGGGTACGGAGGTTGGACATTTTTTGGCTTCGGGAGAGAATTTTCAGAGGTGCTGGTTAAAGGCACAAAGAGGGTCAATTTATAGAGGCAACAGCATAGAGAAAGATACTATGGGATTAGGTGAAGTTGAATTTTAGTGGACTCTAGGCAATGGTCATAATTAAATGTCAAATCCAACCCCGAGGCTAGTTAATTTCAGACATGTGGATGTGCTTCATTGCTTGTTATATTTGAGCTCCAGCAGATCAAAATTTCCATTTTAAGACACAAACACGGGCAATGGCAACTCAATCAGTGCTATTCATCTCAATATTACAGTATAGCAATTGAGCATTTATTACTGGGAACTTACTAACATGAGACGCTTAGTTATTTTTTGCCTGATGTGTTAAGTTGAGTGATTTGATTGCTTTGAAAAGAAAAGAAAAGAAAAGAAATCTGAGTGTGAGGATTTAGCATTTTTGTACTTTTGTATCCAGTGCATGAAATTTAATCAATGGCAATATTTGCTGGGATATCTTGTAATCCAGGCTTGACCGCGTGAGATCTGAAACCTGATACATACAATCTTGAATGATTATGACAAAGCGGCTACCGTCCTTTCTCGGAGCCACTATCAACGTTTCCTCTTTTTGACTGTTCCAAATTTGTTAGCTCATTTGTGGTTTTTCCCATCACCCTTCAATTCACCAGAGACCAAGGAAGGTTCTCTTGCGGAGGCTTTATGCATGTCAAAAACAACAAAGGAAGAGTAATATTGGACCAGATGCTTCACTAGGTTTCGATGAGCCTCGCCATGGGGGCGCTGGCGGGCTCGTCCATTTGCAGATACTGAATCCCGACCCAGTATCAAGGTGGCTCAAGGCCACCCCATCAGTGCAAACGGGCTAGGCAAAGGGGCATAACCCAATAGATGTGCTTAGGATACAATATGAGTATCCATCCGCTGGTTTGGTATTTGAATTATAATACTTTTTCAATCCAACAACTACAATTTCAAATTGAAATTTGAATGCCCTGACTTACCCTTTACAAAGAAGATTCAACTCATCATTCTTGGGAATTAATTTTACCTGAGCTTGAATGGTCATCAATCCTCAAATAAACAATGACCATTCAAGTCCATATCTTACAACATTCCTACTCCATCCCCTTTCAATTTTCGCGTTTCTCACTCTCTTGCTATTACTAGAGATATGTCACCATCAACTCTTCCAGCAATAAGCTTCCACCGACTGCCATACACATCAATAATGCAATTCCTCTCTTCACAAACAAGTCGCTCTCTCTATCTATTCATGCAGTACATAAAAAGCATGTTCCAGTGTTCCACGTAATAAATTTTGTCCTACACTTGTTGCTCAAATAAAGTTCTGATGGAACAACTACGAGTACTACAAGTTCTTAACTTGCCAAATTAATTTAAGATACTAATGAGAATAGGTTCAAATTAGTAAGTTTATCAATTTTTAAAGTAAATTATTTTATTTGTTTTCATAAAATATAATAAATTTTCATAAACTTGACAATAAAATATTGTGAAAAAAGGTTTAATAGTATAACATATGATATGACATATATTTTGCCATCAACTTTAAAAATAGAGTAATCTATCTACATTTGAATTTTATATGAAAAAAGTTTTAAAGATACAATTAATCTAACTCTCTCCTAACCTAAAGTAGGTTTGTTAATTGTTTGATGGGTTAGAAAAGAATGGGGTCAGCCAAGTGGGTAACCTATGATTAGACGCACTTCCAGCCTTTGGGTCTCATCATTATATATCTCCATCTCTTCTTCAATTATATTCGCAGTCTCGGCCGAGTGCCACTCATTTATCTTATATATATCACGTCTCTAGTCTATACTTTGCATCGTTTTATTGCACAATTATGAAATGTATTACAAATGTATATAAATATACATGTTGGCGTGATGAGATAAGCCTTTAATTATTGCTTTATGCTTCCTTCACAATGGGCAAATTTGACCCTTATTCAATTCTCCCCTTTGCCATTCTTATAATTATTGGGTTTTTTTTATCACTTCATAGTTGGTTTTCTTGCTTCTCTCTTCTTCTCTTTACTTACTTTCGCTATACATGCTAAAACGATAGCACTAATACATATATTTCTTTATCCTCAAAATTACCCGATGCTTTTATGTAGATTTTGGCATCTAGGTGGCTCATTCAGTTGATCTGTTGCCGAACTGCCAATCATTAGTGCTGAATTTCACAAAGAATCTTCAGCTACTTTTAACTATATATATTATATGTTTAGTAAAATTAGGGATCGGAGAAGGGCACTAATTATTATAATTTATGATTAATTTGCAGTACTATTGCTAAGACTATCTAAAGAGAATTATCACCTCACTGCCCATGACATTCGATCATTCTGGTTCTAACCAGAAACCATCAATACCTAGAATGTTAAAATTGGCTGAGACAAGGAAAAGCGAATACTGGAAGTTGCTATGTAAAAGCAGTAATGAAGTAATGTGAAAGGAAAAGTGATTGACTACCATGCCGGCCGGCTTGGGAAACACATTAACCGTGCAAGCAGGCAGGGGCGGGCCCTTCTCCACATATCCTGTGATGATTTTAGGTGCTTTGGTGTAGGGGTATATTTTTTTTGAAGTTACCCCCAAAAATATTCAACATGTACAATAGTAACCCTTCATTTTTTTTTTCTTTTGTGCGAGGGCCCAATGCCCCAATCATGCAGGCTGGGAAAGACATTCACGCGAATCAGTTATTATTGTAATGTATTCACGTTGAAGAAGACACTTGTAATTCTTCAATGGATTAAGGGCATATGTCGGAATTATAGTTATAATAGCAATTAAACGACAACCATAATTTCAAGTCTCTTAATAACTTAAGGGACAACCCTCCTCTCTCAACCTTCCCAAAGCCTCTCTCTTAATTTCTGTGTGGCTACCTCAAAGGCTTTCCAACACCAATTCATGGCAGCCACTACCTCCAGTACTAGCTGCTCTAGTTTCTTCAATCTTCGATCGAACAACGTCGAGCCTAGGGTCCGGCCCTCGTCATCCACCCATGGCTCACCAGCTGGGTGCGGAAAGCTTGATGGCGTTGCTATGTGGTTCATCAATGGTGTAGCAACTGCATTCTTTGCATCACTGGAACGATGTTCTTGCATCCGCATAGCGACGGAGGACGACGGTGAGGAAGCCAACGACGTGCCGTTGATTCACAGTGATGGCAACATGAGGCACGATGCTGGAACTGCGAGCAGGAGGAGGACGGGGAAAGGGAAGAAAGGAGGGGGAGGAGCATTGCTTGAACACTAAAGTGGTGGAATATTTTTGTTTATTACTTTTGGTAAGTTAAATATGCTGGGGTTTCTTTGGGTTTGTGAAATTTTTATGGGGTTATGGCTTTTGGGAGGATTTGGGCAATGGTAAAACCCGCAAGGAGTTAAATATTTTTACTTTTGTTTGAATTTGTGATGAATATGAAATGGAAAATAAGAAAAATCTCTCCTTCTTAATTCTCATGCTCTTCAAATTTTTTTATAAAATGTCAATTTTTCCACAATCCATTTTCAGGCCAATTGTTCAGAATTCAGATTGTTTTTATCTTGTATAAATAAATTGCAAGTGGCTAGAAAAGGTTTGCTGGAAACTGACAATTTTTTATCAATTATTCATTGAATATGGGAAGATTTTGGTTTCCCCCTGTTCATTAATTCATAAGGTTGGATCTTCCCTTAGAAGCACATGTTGCCAAATGATCATAGCATGGAAGTGTCATGATTCTTCTAAATAATTCCACTTCCTCACTTACTCAATACAACCAGCCTGTACATGTTAATATTGTTCCCCGGCCCCAAGAACACATCACAGAAATTTTATACCTGGTAAATCCCATAACAATAAAGAACTAAATAGTTAACATTCAAAACCAGAAGTTAGCTCAGGCCTTATATTATCATGTGGTTATGATTTTTTTTTTCCTTTAAAGAATATTCTATGTTTAACCTTTTTCCTTCTCAACCTCATGTATGAAATTTGAACTTTAGGCAATTTGGTAATGCTTCATATATATGTTATTTTTCCGTATAGAATTCAATGCTTTACTCCAATCAACTTGATCAGCATATTCAATATTAAACCCTAGCTTTTGAACACAGCTAGGACAGTGATTATACAGATGGAGCTGATTTTTTTTTTTTGCAAGAAAAATACAGAGAGTAAACAGGGACCTAAAGGTGCTGCTTTAAAATATTCAAAACGACTTTGATCCATGATTATGAATGATGTTGGCATTTTTGGTATATATATCATCATGTTGTTTGTTGGATTGTGGGACAGTTTCTTTTGCTTTTGTTTTATCTTTTCTCCTAACCCCAAGCTCGGAATCCAAAGATTGATTACTTTAACAGCAAAACCCACATTTCTCTCCATGGCCCTTGAAGCAAATATGCTTCCCATGAGAGGAATGGAAAGGAAAAGAGGAGCCAAGTCGAGAAATTAAGAGGACATTGCAGTAATTTCAGTTTTTCCCATGGGCAGGGGTCAAATCAAAACCCACCAAGTATTGTTCCCTAATCGTTTTTTAACCAAAAAGCTTTAACTTGATTACCTTTGATTGCAAATCATTTTGGTCATGCGTGCTACTCAGTCCCTAATCCGAAGGCCTGACACTGCCACACCGCTAATTATTGAGAATCATAGTACTAGATATTTTTGTTTCCCACACGGATGTTGTGCTGAGAAGGATGTTCTCTTTCTCTGCAAAATTTCAGTTCAAGAGAACAAAAAAAAAAGGTGCTTGAAAGGTTCAAATCCGGATTAAAGAAAGACAACATATTTTATCCATCGTTACAGTGAGGCATTTTGCAGTATGATAATAGACACTTATGTTATACTCGCGTCTAACACAAGGATTGGACCCGTCATTAGTATTTGTTCGATTAATATTTTTAATTTTTAATTTTTTTATTTTTTAAATATCTATTATGTCATAAGTCGAAATTTAAATCTAACAATCTTAAATTTTGAAAAAAAATTTAAATAATTTTATAAATTACATATTTACATTATCAATTCAAAAGATATATATGATAGGTGATTAAAAGTTTATATTTATATACTTAAAATTTATTTAATTTTTTATTGATATAAAATTCATGATAATTAAGTAAAATAAAAGTAAAATTTTTATTTTTATTAATGTAAAATCCATTTCGTAATAAATAATTTAATTTACAAAGAAGTTCGATAGTCTATCAGGGGCCTAGAGTCCACTAAAAAAATCCGACATTGGGCTTACTAGTTCAATTAGGTTATGGGCATAAAGCTGGTCCAGTTACTCTCTTATGGACCCTGGAAAGCTCCATTGATGAGTGATAACACTGTCTGATTCGTCCGAGCAAGAGCCCACCGTTTTTTCATTTTTTATGTCTCTTTCCCTCTCAGCACGTAACTGACAGCTTACTTACTGCTACGCAGCAGCATCAGATCAACCGCGCGCCAGTTTTAATAACCGCACCACCCCCACTGCAAAAAAAAAAAAAAAACCAAAACAACCCAAGCCATGCTCCATATTGGGGAAGAAACCCCTTCCAGGTAAACACATTCAAATATTAGGGTTTTATTTCTTCCTATACTTCGCATTCAAATAACAATGTTAATTGCCAAATTTTTGAATTTGAATGTTTGGGGTAGGTTTGAGTTACTGAGCATGGTTAAAAAGCACTCGAATTTATTGGGAAAAACGACGGTGGATGAACATGATGCTTCCGACGTTCAAATGGACGGCCAATTTTGGCACGACGTCTTCGATTTGTATTTCGTTCGGGGTAAGGAATCGAGAGGACGCCAAGATGATGATCTCATATTTTTTGTGAGAAAATGGGTATCAAAATCTGGATCCCTTCTTTTTATCTCAATTTTGTTTTTTAATATTGGGAAATTAAGGTAATTGTTTCAAATTTATGCTGCTATAGAGGGGACATGATTTTAATGATAAAGACGAAGGCTTTGCTCCTTACTTTGTACGCAGGTGGGCACCTGAGGTAAAAGAAAGTCAAAACCAACTTGAGTCTGAATTGATTTTCTTGTTTAATTTGATTCCGTTTGACTCTAGTAGTTTTCTTAGGTTCTTGTAATAATGCGGTAGTTGAAACCTTTCATATCTTTAATTCAAGTTACTATATTAATTGTCTATACTTTTGTGAACTAGTTGGATAAGTTAGTTGGTGAGAGTTTATCGGATGTGGATTGGAGGCGCTCTTTTTACTTGAACATGATTGCACATACTTCGTACTCTGTAACCGTAGCGATTTGCAGGTAACTTCTCCCATTGCTTGTATTGTGTTTTATCTATGCAATGTGATACATTTTTTCTTACTTTGCTGTATATAAGCTTCATGCTGTTGATACTTTCCTAAATTTAAACAGTATATTTTGTTTCTTACTACACTAACAATGTCTTTTTGTTCCTCCCCCCTTCCCCTTTGGTGAACTAACTTTTCTGTCTCTGAATTTGAATTTCGGGATTTAAGAAAGAAAAGGGATATTTATTTGCTGCTAAAGGGTTTTTTCTTTTTTTCTTTATTGATAGCTTCAGCGTGATAGATTATGATTAAATATGAACTGTTTGTTCTTTTCCTCTTTTTCCAGTCACCGTGTACTTAGAAATCATCAAGCAGGGCAAGATACACCATTGTCTCCTATCTACAAGGTAAAATCTGCCTTATTGTAGCAAATGATGTCAGTAACCTTTTAGGAGGACATATTTATATCTTTCAACACTTTGGAATTGCTTGTACTCTTGAAATTAATATCTGTCATCATGGAGAAAATCTGCCCAAAATTGTTCCTGAGAAGTGAAGAAAAAAACATGTGATTATTACTTCTAACATGCTGTATGAATTACTGAATTCATCCTTCTTGTTATAAACCATAGGTATTTACATGCAACGGAAATGGGGTTGCTGTGGCTAACTTTTGCATTTAAGGAACTTGAATTATTTTTATGCTAAATCAAATACTGTCTCTTGCATGGACTCCAGAATGTCCATACCCATCTTTGGAGGCCATCTTATCTAATTGTCAAGCTTTCACTCTGCTATCCTGCAGGTTGTGAAGACTGTTTATGCATCTCCCAGCCGAGTAAATTTTCATTTGGACTCCAAAAAGGCAAGCATTTCTATTTGCATTAAATCATGGGGATATAGAGGTTATCTTCAATTTCATGACATTCTCACTAACATGGATCTAGGAAGTAGAGACAACGCCAGCCTATCCAGATATCTGTTTCGCAATAGATGATTTTGACTCCACTTTTGATGCAGTGGTAAATTCTTTTCTTTTCCTTCCCAAGTTTTTGCATCAGTGTGTTTATGATCATATTGTTGCATAAATGTACATGATATTGTGATTAAATATTTTTATTTTCAAATTGTTTTTTTTATAACGAAATTTCCAATTTACTAAGCTACTGCTCATTGTGCGGAAGAATAAGTTTAGAGTGGTATATGAGGCTTCAACTTGGCTTGTGTTACTGCCTTCTTCTTGCAACCCACTTTACTAAGCTAATGAGAAGTTGGAACTTGCCATTTGTGCGGCGTGTGAAAGTACCAAAGTCACTTCCATATTGAAGATTTGCATCCTTTCTTGGTTATACTATTGTCCTGTTGTTCTTTGTTATTTATAATGACGTTGCAGGTTTTCATTAAAGGCAGAAATTTCTTGTTAATTGTAGGACCTCTAATACATAGCTTTGACATTTTTCTCCTCCATATGCAGGTCTTGACAGATACGGATCATTGCTATTGTGTGCTTCTTAATGCACTTGATGGGGCAGCATTTCCTAGTGACAAGGAAACAAATGATAGCAGTTCCAGTGACAAATTGCCATTGAGAGTAGATACAAATTCTATGAAGACGAAAACTAGTAAGGTTTGAGTCATATCTCAGGTCCTTTGTGATAATTTATTTGTGTTAGTCCCATGATCAGCCATAGGCTTCTCTTCCAAAGGAGGTACTTAGAAATGCTTGATTTTTGGCATCACTTCATGATTGTCAAATTTGGTAAAAAAAAATAAAATTGTCAAACGAACATACCAAAATGATTTTTTTTCTTTCAGAATAGAGGTACCTATTGGCCCAGAAGTTTTTGAAAACATTCCCTTCCCACCCCTCTCACAGAATCCTGAACTTTTGTTTTACTCTTGCTTGTGATGGATGCTCCTTGTCGTTAGGCTACCAATATAGAGAATTTTTTAGACATTTTTAGAATTTCTATTTGCTGTTCTTTAGAACAATGAATTGACCAGGAAGGGCAATGAGGTGGAATAGTTGACTAGGACTTGAATGGCCTGCCTTTGGATTTTTAACAATGGTGCATTTTAGTGCACAAGGAATCTTGCTTTAAATTGATCTTCCTGTAAAACATTCCAATTGAAGTAGCATAAACCATGAAAGACATAGATATGCATGAGAAGAATTTTTTTTCCTACTTTTCTTTTATCATTTTAATGCTGCCAAATTGGAATATTTTATTATCATGAATAAGTTTTGAAGATGCAATTTATAAACAACATTTTCGTTATCATCACATAGATTGGCATAATTCTCTCAAATTATCAAATAGACTGAGGTTTGAATTTTCCATATTTTTGTACATTTATTTTGTGAAAAGCTGCTTAGGAGTTCTATACGTGCTACACTACTTACAAGATTAGTTTGCAAACAACTTGACATGTTGGTAACTGTTTTGGCAGCTTACACTTTTTTCTGGATTTGTCAGCTATCAAATGGTTCGGGATGCTTATGACGGTATACCTTTTCGGAATTACTCTTCTCAAGAATGGGCATCTGTTTTTGTTCATTAAGAATTCTGTAAAAACTTAGCGTATCAGCTGATAAAATATTTTCTGCTTTAGTTATGTGATGAATGTTGATGAAGAAATTGATTGATATGTTAAACATGCAAGCATGGCTTATTTGGCATTGCATTTAGTTCTTTTGTTTAAGCACAATTAACGTGCCTTCCATGTACCTTTTAGCACAGTTTTGTAATGGGTCCGCCCCGATGGTGCATTAAGTGCAGCATTTTCTTCATTTATCAAAAAGTCTTGTAATGGTTCAGCACCATTGGTGCCTCTTAGTGCAGCATTTTCTTCATTTATCAAAATGTCTTGTAATGGGTCAGCACCATTGGTGTCTCTTAGTGCAGCATTTTCTTCATTTGTCAAAAATAATAATAGCAATGTGCCTGTAGAAAAATAGACATGTTAAATCTGTCAAGTTCCAGCTGAGTTTGTGTTCACTAAGCTGGCTCTAGTTTAAAGGATGCAAAACATGTAGACTGCTAAGCTTATGTTGTAAGCAGGGTTTTTTAGCTTTTAGTTTTTCCTTAATGTCTTCTTCATGCTTATTCAGTTCTCATCTCATATCATTTCTCTCACTTGCTTAGCTGGGAGTTCTCGATTTGGAAGTCTTCTGTCACTTGGTCATTCCTCGGGCAAAACAGACAGGCTTTACATGAAAGGTCCTGGAGGACGTGGGGAAGTTGAAGTGGCTGTTTCAGGTGTTGCGGGTCAGTAAGAAATTCCTTATTCAAAATCGATCTTGTAAAATTCACTTTCTTCTTTGTTTCCTTTTTTTCTCAATGCTAATGTAGGTTAAATGTTGCAACCAACTGTAAATTGGTTGTGACCTATGTTTCTTAATGAGTGTCAAAGCTCAAATTGTCCTATGTCCAATTGATCAATCATTCTCACAAATTGAGGGTATTGAGGATTATAGTGATTACTTGTAGGTAATGATGTGTTGTCAGTGTAGTTTGTGTAAATGTTTTAATTGTGAACAATCTGTACTCCATTACCTAAGCAAACAATTATGAATATTTTGCTTCCCCTTTTTATTAATGCTTTATATTTCCCCTTTTTATGAGCAACTGTTCTGTTTTTTGAATAGATATTAATTGATTGACCATATGAAGTGAATGGTGCATCTAAGGATTGCATTAAATACTGAATCAAGATATTACTCTGTCAGATCAGAGCAGGGAGGATTCAGGCCCTTTTTCTCCTGTTATATCAAAAAGGGGTTTTGGACTTGGCTCAATTGTTCGTAAAGCAGCTTCTGTTGCATCTGTGGCAGCAAAGCATGCTTATGCAGCAGCTGCTGCCACCTCGACTTCTGATGAAGAGATGATACCTCTCAAATGCTGCTTAATGTCTATAACATTGCCCTGGGAGCACATTGCTTATGATCTTTTGTTCAAGGTAAGATCCTTATTCCATAATAACGTATGATGCCCTCACCAATTTTTGTCTGCATGCCAATGAGTGTGCTAACTTCAATATTTGCTTATTGCCAAACTCAGGGAAGTCCTCCGGTGAACTTGTAATTTTCTTGTATTCCCTGTTGCCAAAATCCGCTAAACAGATGGTCAGACGCAACCTGCAGAAGGAAAAAGCATTCGAGAAGTGCACTTTCCAAGAATGTGCAAATTTCCACCTTCCAGAGCATGAAAGGAGATTCTCTCTACTCATATATTGATGTGGGTTTGGGTGTCTCAGGGCTGTACGTTGAATAAATGTTTATTATTAACTGTAAATGCTAATCTGTTCTTTACATGACTTCATTGTATCAGATTGTTTTATTACATTCCTAATGAATTCAGAGGTTTTACATTCGACTTTTCCTGTCTCTTCTATGGCAAGTCTATCGCTTAGCACTACTATTTCCATTTCAATAGGGATTGTTTTATTGAGCTGCCCTAAAAGTTGTAAAAGACTGAGGAATTTTTTTTGTTTCTGCGTGTGTGCATATTTTCCAAGTTTCAAGTGCTTTCTCACCTTTCTTGCTGTTGGGGTTGTTTCTCTCATTGATCAACCAGTTCAATTTTGTGTTAGGTACTCTACTATGGCTTTTCATGCGCTATCAAATCTACTTTTGCCAAAACAAGTTAAATTATGCAATCCTTAACTAGACATCTGCTTGGGAAAACTTTTATGTGCATTGCTTTTGGTCCTGGTGGACCGTGCGCGTTAACTTTGTTTGTTCGTCTATTAGTTTGCAAATGGACGATTGTTACCGTTAATCAAATAGTCAAAACACTTAATAAAATTTCAATGTATGATATTTTTAGACATGTTATAAGTTTTCTTTGATTTTTTCTTAATATGTTATTTATTTGGCTATCGTGTTAATCTCATGCTTGTAAATTAATAAACAAAAATAAAGTTTGAGTACTTTAATTATCAAATAGAGAATGTGATTTAACAAAAGGCATTTGGGATTTCATCTCCGGGGTAGGATGTCCTTGCAATTGCCTTTTCGTGTGCACATGGGAGAGACGGGCACCAAACTAGGTTGCCTGCGGCTGAAGTAAAACCCAAAGATGGCAAAGGGCTTCTAGGGTTTGGACGCATGGGCAGAGGCTATTGGCTAAGGGCTTCGAAACGATTGCTTAGTCTTTTAACTTTTCCAAAACACACGGTTTTGCATTTGAGGGAAATGTTGACGCTTCGAGTGTGGCAAAGAAATTTACTACTTTTGGGCTTCTCCCACCTCGAAGCAGGTTAAAAGTTAAAACAATGATAATCCTACGAAAATCATAGTTGGGCCCTTCTTTACTTTATATCTTTCAAAAACCAGTAACATAAATCATCAAGAAAATTTTACTCAAGTCGATTTGCCATTAAATTACTAAAGCTCAACAAAGCTAAATGGCATTAAGCCAAAAAAAGAAGGTATATATCATTGCAGCACATGAAGCCAACTTCCTTATATATATGTATATGTTAATCAAAGCAGTTAAGTGAAAAAGGGGTGGCCTATGGTTAATGAGCTCACTTTCATTAAAAAAGGGTTCAAATTACCTCTTGCAGAGTACTGCAAATGAAATTAAATATGGTAGCATTAGAGTAGCAGATGGATCGTGTGCATGTTAGCCTCCACTATGTATAGGATAGTGGCTTTTCGGAATGGGTAGCTGCCATGCTAAAACGAAGACTAACTGCCAAATAAAGAAAAACTTCCAAGATCCCCATGAAAAACAAAAAATAAAAAATAAAGACTATGTTCCCAACTTCCACGAACACCAAGTAAGAAAACTACCCTGGAATCTGCACTACCGTGGAAACAATTCTAAATCAATAAAGAATATAGTGAAAAGAAAAGCAAACCGCTCTGATTTTGAGGCTACAATAAGTCAGGTAGGCTAAAACAAAAGGCAAGTCTAATTCCCCACAAAAACTAATAAAACGTAACTTAAAAATGTTAGGGTTCTCAGTATAATTAAAATAAATATACAGTAGCTAGGAATCGAAGACTTTTCCAATTAAGAGAAAAAAAAAAAAACAAAAAGAATGTCTTGGCATTGTCTTTTCTCCCACATGCAATGCTCACCCCACAATCATTGTACTAACTAATTAAGAAACCAAACTACGAACTTGTTGTCTTTATATTGTATTCAACTGTACGTATAATTCTTCCAATCCACAATACATTCCTTATGAAAATAGATTTTGCAGACCTCTCCCGTTACATTAGATTTGTGTTTCATGTTACCAACCGCTCACCGACAAAATCCACGTAACCCCTACTTAGTAGACCCTCGACGATCTCTAGCAACACCTTTAATTCATCTTTTAATTTCTCTCTTTGAAAAAAAATTATTTGGTGCAACCACCTTTCGCCCCCTGCGTATCCCACATGACTTCTCGTCTTGGTCTCTCTAATAAACATTACTTTTCCAGCAGTTTTGTTTTTTTTGTTTTTATCTGTTTTTGTTTGATTCTTCGTGATTAAGGTAAACCTAAGCTTGCCCCAGGGTTCCAGGACCCACCAATTCTCTCTGGAAAAAAAAAAGTTTGAAAAAAATGACCTCCACTACCTTTATGTTAAAAAAAAAAAACCATGAATAATTATCAAAAAGAAATTGTTAGTAATTTAACAATGCTTTGGAAAAGGTATCCACCTTCCAAAATCTTTTGTTTACAAGGACCCCACTTGTTCCTTCACTCTTCTCTTTAAATACCCCCTCCCTCCTCTTCGATCCTTCCCTTTTCCCCTCTTCTCTTCCTTCCTAGTATCAATTTAAAACCGCCTTTTTCTTCTTTGTTTTTCCTTTTTCTAGCCTCATTTTGGTTGGTTTGCTTTAAACCCTTGTGGTTTTTTTTTTTTGTGTGTGTGTGTTAAGTGGTTTGGTCTAATTAACTCAATGTTCGTCACTGAAGAAGCGGTTCAATTTCAGTTACCGGTTCATGAAACCGGCTTTACACCTGAAGAAGTTGAAGAGTTATTATCTTATCTTGAATCTGATGAACCGGTTAGTCCAAACTCTGGTTCAGAAGGTTCGAGTCGGGCGATATATTCAGCAGATGAGAGGAAGCAAAGACGCATGATATCAAACCGGGAGTCGGCGAGGCGGTCCCGTTGGCGAAAAAAGAGGCACCTGGAGAACGTCACGGAGGAAGTGAACCGGTTGAACATAGAGAACCAGCAGCTTAAGAACCGGCTAAGTGTAGCTATTAATCAGTGTTACGTTGTATGGCGAGAAAATGAACAGTTAAGATCCGAATCCGTAGCTCTTTGGGCCAAACTCTTGGATCTATACTGGACTTTAGCCGCCATGCAATCACAATAGCCTCCATTGAAGCTTTTAACTTAACTAAAATGTGATCACATCCCCAATAAAAAGGCTCTTAAATTAAATGAAAACCATTGGAAAATTTGAAAAGCAAATGAAAGAGTTTGAGCTTTCTCCTTTTGGGCAACATTTGGTCAGAAAAGCAAATGAAAGAGTTTGAGCTATGAGGATTTTTCTTTTTAGCAGCTTTTGCATGTGTCTTGCTAGCTAGTTAGAAGAGTACATATTTTTTGTATATAGTGAATGCGATGCTTTATTTCGTCTTTTAATGAAGAAGTACTATGGGATTGAATTAAAACGTTTGACGAGTTTATTAAGCTTCTCTTTGCCACAAAAGGAGCAACCGACAAAAAATTTGAAGCGCACTCAGGGATCTGTACGTGTGGTTTGGTATAATTTTCGTGGGCGCTTTGCAGGCTTCTTGTGTTGAAGCTTATAAAATTTTAAGTCATCCCCACGACTGAAACTACAGTTTTCTTTAATAAAAAAAAAAAACATATAACGATCATGTGTTAAAGTTGACATAGCAGCTTAAGTGAGTGTTCGATGTAGAATTTGATAGGCTCTAATTTTAACTTGTTAGTCGTGGTAAAATGTTGCCATAATTCGACGTGACAAAATCAATAGATTATGTGGTAGGGGTTGCTAGCTTTCTGTTACAAATGTCATCTAAGAGTAATAAATAAATACATAAATATATGGACTTTGGACAAGTAATGTATCATTATCTGATGAAATGTTGAATGACTATATTCCATCTCCCCTCATTTATTAGTGCTTTGCATGATGCAGAGAAACTTTCACCTTATGTATTTACAATTGTATGATTCCGACAATGATTAATTCACTAAAAATTCAATGATTAATTCACATTTTAACTGGAATGTTGAAAACTTCAATTCAGCTTGTTGTATTTTTAACCTCCTTTCCCTCAATAGTTGAGTTTAGATTCCGACATGTTCAAGGTTCACGGGTTCTATCGATGTAAACTATCCATGCCTTTTTTCAATATATATATATAGCTAATAGGGAAATTAAGGGATATGAGTTTTGAATTTTAACTCTCTATTAAACTCAATTTTAAACTGTTAAGTTAATTAAACGCGAAGTAACCTTTCGCCATAAGTTATGCTTAAAGTTAATTGTAAGTATGTATGATTATCTCATTGATTTATAGGAATTCAAAAATCTTAATATTGAAAAGAGGAGATTGAAAATTATCTCATCGTATATAATGAACTTTTATATTTATCTAAAATCGAAAAAAAAAACCCTTTTAATATTATTTTTCTATTCAAAAAGTAATCGCACTAATGAAGGTATTTTATAATGCACTCGAACAGTGAATTCATACCAAAAAAAGAAGGATGGTTTGCATGCCGAACTTCCAAATTTAGTACATCTAATTACCCATAAAAATGCACAATGAAAGCATTATAATTTCAATCAAAGTTCACTACTTTCCCTTGGCAAATCTTCACTTTTCCTCACCCCTTTCAATATTTAACGATGTTTGGGGGCACAAAAGCAAAAGTCACCTCAATGTTTAAGAACAAATCATGTGCTATTTTGCAGGGTGGGGGAAAGAAAAAAGAAAGTTGATCATCTCCATCCTGTAACATGATATTAAGTCTTCTCAGTCTTTACAATCAAAATTTGATGAGATTTGTCACATATTTTTGTCTGTCTCCTTATGAAATATGATTACTCTCTGGAATATTCCAGTTGTTAAAAGTCTAAACTCATGAAAGTATACAGCTTAATACCCCACCCATGAAAATAAAAATTTAAAGAAAAAAAAAAAGAAAGAAACTTGTAGACAAGTCCACAACTATCAAAAATTGGAACTTTAAACGAACCAACCGAATACATGCGAGTCAAAAAGGCAAAGAAACTTAGCCTTCTTTTTATCTTTGTCTTTTTCATTTTTCCCTTTTGTTAGTGAGATTTTGTAATGGATTATGATGTAAAGACTAAACCTTCGTAGACAATGAATGAACAACAAATGTGACTTGCTTTTTCAGTTGGAAAAACCAATTAGTGTTAAAAAAGCATGCATGTCCCTACACCCCGACAATTATTAGTTCATTTATTTTTAAAGTGCATGAAACTATTTAGTCCTCTGAAATTTCCCGGGAGATGGGGCCTCTTTTATCCAGGTGCAGGGAATGGATTTGGATAATGTGGATCTGTAGCCCCCATCATATCAACCAAAAAATTTACAAAACACAGGAAGAAAAGATAGATTTCAGTATCCAACCACCAAATCAAATAAAGAACGACGAGCAAAAAAAAATTGACTAAGAGCCAGTCTTCTTTTGCCATGAATTGATGATCTGATCAGTACCCAAATTTCAAGATGATCTTCCATTGCTTTCCTACGTATATTCATGAAGTTGGCTTATATGTTGACAAATGGTAGGTTCCTGTCTTTCTGCTTAATTGCCAGCTTAAGATCCATCTCACCACCCAAAGTTTGCTGCAAAAAATACAATATATAGTGACCTCCTCTCTTGTCTCTTTCTTAATTTGCAAGTTCTCAGAAGCTCAGCTAAAACAAAAAAAAAAAAAGAAAAAAGGAAGAATTAATTGTAAAGAAAGGGTTTCACAAAGTTAAGAAGCGGTAACCCTTTTTTGACTGAGAATTCGTTCATGTATCAACAAGATATATAATCGACTCAATTACATGCATTTGGCAAGGACAATCTCTGATATCATCGTACTTCACTGATTTGTAAATGTTTCTTTTTCTTTTTCTTTTTCCTTGCTATGGTGAGAAGTACTTTAAAATTGAAGCCTTGTCCAACTCATCTTCATTATCATCCACTAACTATGGCACCAATTGTAGACTTTACAACTAAGGTATTTTTTTTTTCTTTTTGAAACATGGAATTTTCTTTAGGTGGTGCAATAAGGACCATGAACAATTACTTTTGTTTAATTATTTTTCTATGAAATTAAGTGGTCGGTAATCAACCAAAGTCTGTCATACAAATTTTCCTGTGTATTAATTCATACAACATGTAAATTCATTGTCTCTTATATCAGAAAAAAAATAGTATTGATTGCTTAAATTTTTTTGACAATCTTTTTTTTTTTTTGATTAAAAGAGAACCTCATTCTTTTTTACAATCCACAAAGAGAGGAACTATATTTATTAATCATCTCGGGTTACATAAATTTTATAAATTAATGGTTTATAACTAGTTATTATTGGTTTTATGGCTGAGGCAGAACTAGAAATGGAGTCCTAAATTAAATTTTCTTTAACCTAAGCTTAATTACTAACTAATTATAGATGTAATAATGATAAAGGTTTTAATATCTCCAATTAGGCTGGGCCAAATTGGCCCTTACAATTATACGGGCTTAATGTAATGTCTACACACATAAATAAATTGGGTCTTGAAACTGCCTTGCTGGGGCCTGTGGCAATGTTGATACCATAGGCCATGACCACAGACAAAGACGATATTTTCCTTTTTAAATTTATTAATGAATTTTCGCTTGATATAAAATAATAATTTTAGAATTATTATTATTTTGCAGCGATGATGTATATATTGGGTGTTCATTTTTTAATATCTGAAACTAACATATTTGGCACATATTTTGTTGACATGACCTGATTTCTACTCTTTAAGCATTTAATACAAAATGCCATATGTTCAACTTCCAAATTTGTTCCAATATCAAAGAAAAAGAATTTCAAATTTGAACCTAAAATGTTGTCGCACGTCAAATATTTTCTACCAATTTTTCAAGAATATTATTTATTAAATATAAAAATTGTAAAAAATATTGTTGGTGTGTGGTCTTAATAACCAAAAAGATTTAATAGTTTCAAAATTTTTGCAAGATTTTTCTAATTTTTTTTTTTGTTGTGGGAAAGACAAATTGTCACATGGCCCAAACAAAGTCTAGGCCCCAAGGACCCATTCTATCGGGTTCCAATCCCCGATCCTCCAACGTCATAAAAGCTTAATCTTGAGGGTATTCCCGTCAACCCAAAATATTCAAATCCAGTTCCTCCCCTTTCACAGAGCATAAAAGATCCCGCCTCTGCGCTCTGCGACCCAACGTTTAAAAAAAAGAAACACACCAAAGAAGAAAAGGGATAAATGGAGAAGATCTGCGTAGCGGTGAGAGTAAGACCTTCGATTTCCGAAGAAATTTCTTCTGGAAGTTACTGGAGAGTCGATGATAACCGAATCTCTCTTCACAAAATTCACGGCACTCCAATTTCTGGCATTTCTTACGCTTTCGGTAAATTACATATTCCCCCTTCATTTCCTTTTTTTTTCCGCTTTAAATCCAATTCTCAATCCTTGAAAATTTTCTTATTTTGTTTTAGATCATGTCTTCGATGAAAGTTGCTCTAATGCGAAGGTTTACGAGCTTCTTACCAAGGATATTATTCATGCGGCTGTCGACGGTTTTAACGGTATAATTTCCAAATTTTTAGCCCTAATTTGATGATCTGTGTAAAAAATTTGATCAATTAGTTAAATATTTACACCTTTTAATTTTTTAAGGGACTGCATTTGCTTACGGACAAACGAGCAGTGGCAAAACCTTCACTATGAATGGTTCATCAACCGATCCCGGAATTATTCATCGAGCAGTTAATGATATATTTCAGAAAATACAGACGGTAATTACTAGTTAGCATCAATTTGGCTTTTTCAAAAGCTGTTTTGTTTTAATTGTGCTTACATTTTTCAAAATTAAAGCTTTGACTTTCATTATCTTGGTATTGAATCACATTCTCAGATTTCTGATCGGGAGTTTCTCATCCGAGTTTCCTACATGGAAATTTATAATGAAGAAATTAACGACCTTTTCACGGTCGAGAATCAAAAATTGCAAATTCATGAGAGTTTGGAGGTCAGCCATCTTTCGAACTTTGATTAACTTTCAATTGTTTATCCATAATGCCTAAAAATAACTGATTTTTCTTGTTTTTTCAGCGTGGGATTTTCGTTGCAGGTCTCAGAGAAGAAATTGTGAACAATGCTGAACAAGTGATGAACCTCCTACAGTCAGGAGAAGGTTCTTTAAATTTCTTATTTTTGCCCTTCGTTTTATATGGATAGCATTTTTTTTAAGATATTTCATTTAAATTAGTTTTTCTACAGTTAACAGGCATTTTGGTGAGACAAATATGAATGCACGGAGTAGTAGGTCTCATACAATATTCAGAATGGTATGTTCTTTAACATATTTGTTGAACACGAGTATTACTCTATTTATTTGCTGAATATTACTTTTTATATTGGAGATGTTTATCTTACATGTCTAGGTGATAGAGAGCAAGGGAAAGGATGCCAGCTCTTCTGGTGATTATTCAAGCAGTGATGCCATTCGCGTCTCAGTTTTGGTTTGTATCTAGTCATGCTGAAGAATTTTTTTGTTCTTTTATAAAGTTTCTACTTTGTTCTGTTACTTTTATGCTAATTCATTTTTATTTGAAAGTAGAATTTGGTAGACTTGGCTGGTTCTGAGAGGATTGCGAAGACTGGCGCTGGCGGAGTACGTTTGAAGGAAGGAAAGTACATTAACAAGAGCTTAATGGTTCTTGGTAATGTAATTAACAAACTTAGTGATGGTGCAAAACAAAGGTACTTGCTTTGCTTATCCTGTGAGAAGTATCTTTATCTATATGGAATGGATTAATATGTTCTAATGGTATACGTTTTTATATGTACAGGGCACATATTCCTTATCGTGATAGTAAGTTAACCCGCATACTCCAACCTGCTCTGGGGGGAAATGCCAAAACTTCAATTATATGTACTGTAGCACCAGAAGAGGTAGCCTTCCATTTTCCATGTGTGTGTGTGTGTGGTTATCATATGGCTTTTTTTTTTCCCTTTTCTTTTTTGAGAAGAAGTGGAGACTAAATGGCATCTACAACAGAGCATTTTGGTTAATTTTGATATTATATGTTTAGGTTCACGTTGAGGAGACGAAGGGAACTCTCCTGTTTGCTAGCAGAGCTAAGCGCATTACTAATTGTGCTCAAGTGAATGAGGTTTGTTCATTTTCTTACATTGGATCACTTTATCACCTAATATATGAATCTCCAGCTCTAGGCTGTATATCATTATCATGGAATATTTATTATTATTATATGAATAGCAAGATTAATAATTCCCATTTCATTCTCTTCATTTTTGTTTTAATTTATTTGGCATGAATTTGACAATTAGGCTGATCATGGTTAACTATTTTATAGATTTTGACGGATGCAGCCTTACTGAAAAGGCAAAAGTTAGAGATAGAGGAGCTACGCAGGAAGCTTCAGGTGAGGATTAGGTCATATCTACTAACATGAGACCAAAAAAAAAAAAGTTAACTAACATTGTTTAACTTTGTTCAGGGATCTCATGCTGAGGTGCTGGAGCAAGAGATATTAAAACTGAGGAACGACATGCTTAAGGTTCATCATTTGTTTATTGCAGAACCTGGGTTATCATCTTGTATTACCAATTATTAACATATATATGTGATTTGTCTGCTCATATTTCAATTTGCAGTATGAACTAGAGCGTGACAAGCTTGAAATGGAACTGGAAGAGGAAAGAAGATCACACAAAGAACGGGAGCAGCGCATTTTAGACCAGCAGATGAAGATTGAAAACCTAAGTAGTCTGGTTTCTGATGGTGATAGAAGTTCTGGTCAGGTATAACTTGTGCAAAGTGTAGGAAATTTCTGTTTATTTTGGGTGCCCTTGTAAATTTGTTGGCGCCCAAGTCTAATTGTGAGTCCTAGACTACAAATTAAACACCACCTAATTTGTGTATCCAATAGCAGCATTACTTGGAAATCAACCCATCTATCCATCTTTAAGAACAATTAATCTAGCTATACAATTGTACTTTTTCATCCTCCCTTCTAGCTGCTTCTTTCAGTAATTCAGGTGACAAATCTTAAGCTCTTTGAGGTACCTGCATACATGCCCCGTTATACCTTCATCTGCATACATTTATCCACAGCAAAAGTGTAACTTGCTTCGGCCAAATTTACATGTGGTATAGGGCAGTAACTAAATTAGGATTGCAGATATCATTTCATATTGTCATCTGTAAGTATAGTTAATACGAATTTTAGACTTGGTGCAGAGCTCTTCATCTTCAATGTAACTATGATATTTTTTGCTAGTCTCCAGGAAATTCTTCATTCTCTAATTCTGAAGTTTGGGATCGAAATTGTTGTTGACTGATTAAAGAATTACTCATTATTTTAGAGTCAATATTTTATCATGCATTATTATTATTCTTTTTGATTATATCTCTGTGCTGAGAAATTTTATAAATTTATTGTTGGCGAGGGCAGGGTTCCACAAAAGAAAGCCCAAAGGAAGAATGTAATGATAGAGGAGATGATTTTAAAACCCCTTGTTTTAAAGCGGCTCCTAATGCCTTCGTTGCTAAGAGATCTAATTATTCAGAGTTGCCAGATTTCAGTCCTCTCCCTGATTCTTTTAGCAATGTAGCTGATGAAGACACTTGGTTCAAAATGAACAAGGGTTACATTGCAGACCTTGATTCTCTTCAGACAACTCCTGCAAGAAAAGTTCAATCCTTCCCACCACAAGATGTAACTCCTGTGAGTTGATAATTCAAAGTCATATGTTCTTCATCTTGCTGTCAGGATTATATACGTTATTTGCTATCATGTTTTTGTTAATGCCTTTTTCTGTGATAGATGATATTAGTCATAATAAGGACTCCATAAATTGATTATCAGGATTGTTCAAATAAGAATTACAAACAAAAACTCCAAAATCTCAAGAGACAGCTTGAACTTGTTATCGAAGAGAAGAATGAAATCCAGGTCAGTAGGTGCTATACATTCAACTTTTTTACTTGATAATTGTGTCAACGTTTAAAGGCATAGATTAGAGTTTCCACTAAGTTATCAAGGGAGGTTAACTGCATGAAGCCATCATTTCAGAAAGAATTTTCTTTTCCTTTCTCAAATGCCTACTTGTATTGATTGGTATCTTTGCATACTTCTGCATAACTGAACCTCATTAGTAAAAGACGATTGCCATAATTGTCTGATAATCTGACCTGGGAGAAAGCAGGGTGGTTATTTATGGATATACCAACCACTAAGAAGCTGTAAGTATATAGGTACTTGTTTAAGTTGCACTTTAGGGAATGGACGTGTTTTGCTACTTAATTTCTCAATGTTTCATACTTCCGGTGCATTTCTATGCTGTAACTGTTTAATTGTTACATTCACAGAGGAAGCATGCTGAACAAATACAATTGAATGACAGACTAATGGGAGAACTATCTGAACTAAAACAAGAAGCATTGCTTGTTCGAAAAATGCCTCAAAGACTCTGTGAATCTGTGGCGAGTTGCAAAGATATTTATGATGATGTTTTGTCAAAAATGCAGGTGAATATGCATTATATTTGCCTCTCTCAACCTTTTTTTTCTGTAATGTGTAATGAAATAGTAACATGAATGCATTCCATCCCTTTGTGCAATGACAGAGTTTTGCATCTGATGGGAAATCTTCAACTGCAAAATTTCTCTGTGGCACAAGTGAAATTGGGACAACCCTTTTCTCAACCTTGGAAACCCACTTTGCAATGGCAATGAATGGTCACAATTCTTTGTCTGGGAATGATTCTCTAATCCAAGAATGCAACAAAATGCTTTCTGAAACATTGAAGAGCACAATTACATCCTTGATTCTATCAGAAACAGCCGGTGCCGAGGATGATCAAGCAAATGCTCCTTTATGCAGCTGCAACTTTAAGGTAGCTGCCTGGTCACAGTTATCAGGATACCATTCATCAATTATGATTCTATTCTTTGTTATTGTTTTAGGATATTTTGTTTCCTTCTCCAGGGTCCTGATTTTCTAAACTCTTTCTGCTACATATCCCGTCCATCTTTCCTTTGTTTGTGTCAAATATTGTTTAGTGAGAACAAAGTTACTCCAAAATTCCTTCAAAATTGTGTTTTTCCCTACAGAAGGAAGAAAAAGGAAAATCTTATCTTTGTTGTACTACATTACAACCAATATTTAGAAATACTTTAAGAGTCTATGCCAGCTCTATCCTTTTTATGTGTTGAATAAATTTTAATATAAATATACAAATAAACCAAAATTGACTAGGTACAGTTAGCAGCTGTTGGAATTCATGTGCTTTTAGGTTAAAATTTCATATCTGTTGTTGGTTTTCAAGTATTTTCTTATGTGCTGTTGGAGAGAATAGTAACTATGCTTACTTTAGAAGCACTCAGCATCCACCAAAACCAAAACTTCGGATAAATGAAGCAACGACCTCTCTTGTTAAGGATACTTTGAAATGTTTGTTTTCTGCATGTGTGTGTCTGCTTATGAGTGCAATTGGGTTCTTTATGTCTTTCTTTTGTGCAATGCGCCATGTTTTTAGCTGCTTCCCAGGATAAAAGGAAATCGGAACTACATTTTAGTAGAAAAATGATTACAGAGTGTAGGTTGCTTTCTATCCTGTTTTAAGATTTAGTTTTTAAATGTGGAAGGGCTGCACTCAGGGTGGAGCAACTGCTTGTTGGAAGGAGAAACTGAGCAATGAACTCAACAGTGTCAAGGAAAAGTATGAAAACTTGGAGAAAGAGTTAGATCTCAGTGCCAAGTTACTGGAAGCTTCGAAAGAAAGATCTGGTAGCCTGGAAAGAGAGTTTCAGGAGTTGAAACAAGAACGAGAATCATTGCTGAAAACAGTCTCTGAATCATCTCACAAGCTCACACTCCTGAGTGATCAAAAGGAAAACGTTTTGAAGGACTTGAACGCTGAAGTAAAGAGAAGGGAAGACCTCGAGGAAGAGGTTAAACACTTTAGTGTTGCTTTTGCTTCTCGACAGAGATCACTCATGTCAATTCACGGTGAATTTAAATCTAAAATTGAGAAATTGAGAACTGAAAATCCAGTCTCAGTGCAGAAATCTCTACCGCATTAAAACCATTTAAGTTATTATTCTCTTTACTGTAATGCTAATGCTAGGTCGTTCCATTTCTTGACACTGGCATGACCACTTCTCATTCTCTTTGAATGTATTTAATTTCCTCATGATGCTATCATGGGAGATGCTATAGTTACACTTATTAGTACATGCTTGGAAAGTGATATTCTGATCGAATGCTGCATATGATTTATGGTCATTAAATAACAGTAAGACCTATAGGCCTTTGGGTATGACTTGATCGTGAGGAAATGCAGCAAGTCAGTTTGGCACACGTGTTGTTCCTAATTTCAACTTGGCAGTTTTGGAAGCGTGTCCATTTCGGTTGCCTCACATTCACATCTCTGCATATTAATGCACAAAATCAGACATTGAAAAGAGGAAACTCATCTTATCCTCTTCATCTTCAACACCAAGACGAGGGTAGGGCTATTAACAAAAGATAGGATGCTTGAGGTGAAAGATAAAAGGCTACTTGGCTATTGCCTTCTTCATGTATTAATTAGATTGTGATGGGAGGAGACAAGGCCTTATCCTATCCCATCAATGATGGTTTTTCTCAACAGAATGGATGCCCACGCATTATCAATTAATTGATTGAATTAAATTTATTATTAAAATTGAATAATAATAATAAAATTGTGTGTTTTTTTTAATAAATTAAATATATGTAATATCATATATCTCTTTTAAAAAAAAAGCCATCGGATTTGATTGTAGGATTATTGTTAAACTTCTTCTCTAAAATATAATTATTATTTTTAAACATATTAAGAATATAAAACTGTAAAAGATGCATGTGGGTTAGGTGCAACAAAACCAAGCTTTGAAGATAATAATAAGAGATTAGAAGAAGCATGGGGAGCATGAGTATGGTTGTTGCAGGGATAGTACAATATATTTGGTACTTGACGGGTTCTATCAAATAAATTTGCATTTCCAGTTCAGGTTGATTTTCATGTTGCCATGGTTTTCCTCAATACTTGATGCATGACCCAATGAGGCCATCTAGCGTCGCATAGCTTAGTTCACTAGGTGGTCTACCAGGGAGTGTTTTTCTTTCCCTGTGTTTTTGTTCTTTTTCATATATTTGCCATATCCAGCTAAAGTTTCAAATTGGAAAACCCTATCTGTCCCGAGGAGTTCTTGATGGAGGGCATGGTGGTGGGGAGAAGAGGTTTTATTCCATCAGAAACTAGTTGACATATAAATGTACGCCACAATATACGGACACAGGTTCTCTTTTTACCACTTGGTTTCTCCCTCTCCACTCCATTGCTACCAACTACATGTCATTCTCAAGTAAAAGATGCTCCCAGCTGTTTTTAACTTTGTAAACAGAAATCATGTTCAGACTAGTGCTGGGACCTCCCAAATCATATTCATCAACATAAAGGAAAAGCACAAAAAAGCAGCTTTTCTTTTTCTTTTTTCCTTTTTCTTGTTCTTTGTTTTTGACCATTATTTTCATAATTAAAGACTTATAGGAGTAGACTATAAATCATGCGTATTGAACCATGATATCGACTGGCTTACTGCGTGTCAATGAGTTGGGGGAAAGGGAGAGGAAATCCAGGCTCATACACATGCATGTAAACATGTTCACATATGCAAATATATATATAAAAATATAATTGGGATTAGGTTTATAAAAGCTTTCCTAACAGTCATTAAGTGTATAACAACTCCGGAATTCTCAGCATTCAATTTACGTTATTTCCCATCAACAATGTTGACTAGTTGTGGACACCATTCAAAAAGAAACAAGTGCTTTTGGGACCATAAAATGTACCAAAAACAAAATGTAAATTCGAATGGTGTGAATGTGAGGGATAGGGGATTGAATAAGCTGTCGAAGTCTTCAAGTAAAGACAGGCTCTGACATGAACAAAACACTGGAATAGAAGATGCTAGATAAAACATCTTTGGAACTCGGGGGTGATATTAAAGCTATAATGCCTTGAGATTGTTTGGAATATGTCCTTTCCTTTTCTCCCTTTTGTAGCCTTAAATACCCAATCTTCCTTATGTTTCTGCTCTTGTTCAGTCCCAAACTGACGGATATATGGCTTTCCCATTTCATAGCCTTGCACATGCTCCATCTCATCTTCTTCTTGTCTCCTTCTGTTCCCCTCCTTCTGAACAAGCTTAAATTTAGATCATAGAGCTTCAATTTTCAACTCCCGCAACCCTTCAGCCTAACACTGCTCAAATGGCCACAAGGACTACAGCATCAGGCAAGCCAGCGAGGCAACTTGGAGACCTCCTCCAAGAACAGCAAGAACCTTTCATCTTAAAGGTTTACCTTACAGAAAGAGGGTGTATGAGAAAGAACTTAAATTCAGGAGCTAAATTCATTGGCTGCCACGGCAATTCATGCAAGTTTCTAAAGAAGTCTGGTAGTCAAGACAAGAGCAAGAAGTGTATTCCCCAATTCCCCAAGGTACTTAAAGTTGTATGTAACAAGCTCTTTACAATTGAAGGCTTTAGAAGCAAGAATTCTGCTGATGAAGATGGAAAGCTTAACGTCGCTGAGATGGACCGAAATAACCAAGATACTGAAGAGCCTGATAGATTTTCCTCTGCTAGCAGCACAACAGTGTTTAATTCATGCTCAGATAGTGATATAGATGAACCATCCATGTTTGCTGACAATACCAAGTCTTTCAAACCCTACGATCAAAGCGAAAAGAAGGTAGAGACGCGTTATTGCTTATTCATCTGTTTATCTTTTGCATAAAGCAAGATTCCATTCGAAATATTTTAGGAAAATATCAAGTTCTGTTGCTTACTCATAAAGCTAACAGGCTGCTGCAGATACGAAGTTTCAATGGAGTTGCGTGGAAGACAGTAAACAGCACAGCCCTGTGTCAGTGTTAGAAGATACATCTACTTCAAGAGGCTCCCCACTTGATAACAGTTAGTATTTTTCTACTTGCTAGGAGCTCCGCGGTAAGCTCAGCGTTCTTAGTTTCGTTCTGGTTTAAATTCAGTACTAATCCTCGTGAGCTAAAACAGCAAGGCCGGTTTCCAGCGCAAGGCAGAAAAGTTTCTTCTTGCCTAAGCTAATAACGGAAGACTCAATATTGTCTGCTTCGCTCTGGAATTTATTTCTTCAAACCACACCAGGGAAATCAAGTTGCGCAGGATTAACAGAACTACAAGAGCCTGACTTGTCTAATTCTTCCCGGTTTTCAATATCGAAAAGGGTTTTGCAGCAAACAAAGCAGCTCCTATTCGACTGTGTTAGGGAGTTGGAAGATAGCCATGATAGGGAAGAAAAAGGCAAAGAGTTTTTAGGGTCTGAGGAGATTGGGAAGCTCATCTGTGGGAAAATTAAGGGACGGGGAAAACGATGTGGAGATGAATCAAACATAAAGCAATGGTTGAAATCAGATATAACGGATCCAACTCAGGAATGGAGCGATCTTGAAACTCAGAAGAGGGACATCGGGCTAGTGATTGGAAACGCCATTTTAGAGGAGATCACTAGTCTAGTTGTCATGGACATGGTTAATTAATGTCCTAGCTAAGATGTAATTGCTAGCTTCGGAATTCAATTTCCTTATCTAATTTCAATTATTTTACTCACACTGATTTCTGCCGACTGTTCCTGTCTGGTTCAGATTATCAATTCCATGACAGCAAGGTCTGTAAAAAGCTAGAAAAATAGCAACAGCAGGCACTGGAATGCCCTGCAGGATTACCCGGGGAGAAATGTAACGACAAGAGATCAGTCTTTCTTATGGCTTATCAAATTGATGGATCCACCGACACTGACGTCCAAAGCACCTAGAAAAGAACAAGGACAGTGATTTACATGATTTTCTTAAAACTTAATCCTTACATGAGTTACATATTAGCCGCACAATCCAATCAAGCATACTCCTTTCACTTAATACACAAGTTTTTTCATTAAACAGTTTTAATTAAATAATTAAATCTAATTCATTTGTCCATTTTTGATTTTAATAAAATTTATTAGTTAACTTATAATTTGTTTTTACTACCAAAAATAATACTGCCCTTGGATTTTTTGAGGAGTAGTGTTTAACACTAAATTGAATTTAAAATGAGATACTAACTATGGAGGTAAAAATAAAGCTTCCCTTAAACTTATATAATAAATACATAAAAACAAAATAGTTATGGGATATCAAAGGAGGCAGCTGCCCCCATCATTGCCCCACTGTAAATCTCTCTCTTAAAATGAGCCAACACTTACTAACAAACTTCATAAGATACCGTCAACCAGTTACATGTGTTACAGCTATTAAGTGATGGATGTAATTCTTGTAATTGTGGCCACACCAATTTGTTAGCCAAAAAACTAGAACTGCAACTCTGAAGAAAGACTTCACCAAATACTTTTAGACTTCAAATACTAAAAGCAAAACCCCAAAACCCCCACCACACTAAGATTCTAAACACTGAAACAAATGTAAAATACAGGGCAACCCTCAACACTCAGTACTAGGAAAATAAGCAAAATACTCTTAATTAGTTTAAGATATTGCCTAAATGATCTAAAACCCCTACTAATCTATAGACATTTACGATTGAGCTTATAGAATACAAAATGCAACGATGAAATCTTAGGTAGTTAATCCCCCAATCGGCTTATTTGAATTTTTGCATCAGTAAGAAACTACTGAATTTCACCATCCTCACCAACTTCACCATCTTCCAGCTCCTCATAACCACTGTTTCTACGCGATCCATCGCGGTGATCTCTCTTGTGCTTTTTATGCCGGCTTTCATTATCAGATTCAGGTGAGTGTGCATGCTGCCAAGAAAATATTTGAAGAACATTAAAACTTGTTGGATAGATGAACAATATATGATGAATAGATAAGCTTATACCTTTCTTGATTTCTTACGGTCACTGCCGTGTCTGCGAGACTTCTTAGACTCCTCCCTATCATCCTTATCGGAACTCCCATCATCACCACCACTTTGGTGTCGTTTGCGGTGTTTCCTATCTTTTTCTTTCTCCTTCTTCCTGTCCTCTTTATGGCCGTGACTGTCAGATATATCTAAATTCTCACTATCTGTTTCATCTTTTTTAGTTCGTTCCTTGCCTTTTTCCCTTTCACGTTCTCTTTCCTTCTCCTTTCTCTCCTTCTCCTTTCGTTTCTCTTTCTCTTCTCGCTCTTTCTCCTTTTTGGCCTGCAAACCAACGAGATAAACATGTTTAGATTTTGGAAGAAACACATGTTCTTATACAGTATAAAATGCATACCATAATTCTGGAAAATGCAAGGAGAAGCTCAAAAAATATAAACTGTACAAGTGCTCATATTCTTTCACACCCTTCTGATAATATCCAAGTCCATCATAAATAGATCAAAGTATTTCATGAATATATGGGATTTTTAACCACCAACTACTTGGACATCATAGCTAAAGATTCATATACCTTTTCCTCCTCACGCTTGCGCTCCTTTTCTTTAGCTTTCTCCTGTAAGTATGCAATGTATTCCTCAAAGATCTCTCTCCTTAAACTCTCTTCTGCAATTGATCTAATAAAAGTGCATGCAAGAAAACCACCAAGGGGAGGAAATGATCTTAGGACTGAGATGTTTAAGAATGATAAATACCCAACAAGTACCTCCAAATGGTTGTTCATCATAATTGCAAAAAAGAAAAAATGCAATACCTGTATTCTTGGCTTTCTTCAAAAAGTGGTCTAGAATCCTCCCAATCAGAGGATGCAGTTATCTCCTATGAAGCAGCACAACAACCAAAAGTTAAACAAGATGGTCATGGGAAATTCTTTAAACAAGTGCACATAAAGTATAGTTCCCATTTGTCTATAAAACAATATAACACACCTTATATGTATGTAATAGCTTAGTGAAGTCATCTGCCAGACGCTGACGTTTCTTAGCCTCTTTCTCCTCCTTCTCCTTGGCGCTCTTGAGTAACTCCTCATACACAAGCTGAGAATGAGTATAGAATAAACTTATCAATATTCAATCACAAGATTAGTGCTTAACTTTTTTCATTTTTTACCAGAGCTCAACTTTTTCCATATTTTCCCTCTTTTTCCTTTTTCTTGATGTTGAAAACATGTATTGCAACAGAAGTACCTTTAAGTTTATATCTGATATTGGCAAGGAACCAACGTCTTCTGAAATAGCAGCTTTGAAGTCTTCAACTGTCCATGTGGAAACCATGGTAATCTGGAAGGAGGCCAAGGAGGGGTTCAATAATGAGAAAGCACTTACAAAGACCTTGCAAGAAAAATCTAGTATCGTACCTTCCCTGACTTCATTGCATCTTTTATACAGGTTTTGTCTTCCTGATACTATTCATGTAAAAAAGAAACCATAAAAAACGTATGAATATCATTTGTTTTCTGCTGGAGCAATAAATAATGCAACAGAAAAAAAATGCACATCAAATCTTGCAGAGAACAGATTTGAGGCACAAACCTGTTTTTCTAATTCTTCAACAACATCCTCAAACAAATCTTTTGGCGTTGAACCAGATATGTTTGATGCAACAGCAAGATATTGGGGCAAATCTTTCACCTAGAAATCAAAACAAAAGGACTAAGCAAGAAAACTAGTTCTGAAGAAGACAAAACACACCTCGATTTAAGCCACTCCTACTGTAAAACAAATAACAATATATGAATACCTTCAAACAATAATCTCGCCAGTAAGTTTTAGCCATAAGAGTGCCATCAACAACATGTTCGTCCATAAGCTTACGGAATGCGTCACGGTTTTTGCGCTCTGCACGTCTCAATTGTTCCTAAGTTTTGACCAAGAAAACAAGGTTAAGAACACAGATTAGAAGTGAATTAATGATCTTAAAAAGTACCTCCACCTTTTGCATCCTCTTTTTTTCCTCTTCTTCCTTCTCCAAGTCATGAATGTAGTCCTGGAATATGACCAAGCGATCAATTTTTTCAAGACGTGAGCATCTTTCATCATCCTCTAAGCGGTCTTGAACTTTCCGCCACTGGCTGTTTGCCTGCAGATTTAACGAAAAAGTTCAGGTGAAAAAGCCATGCTAAAATCTTTACAAAGAAAACAAATTACAATCCTCTTTTGTAAACGTTGTACCTTAATAAAATCACAGGATTCCAGAAATTTCCTGTATTCTGCTATATTCCGCCTTTTTTCGTCTGCAGCATTTTCCCTTTCCTGCATTAAACAACAAAAACTAGAAAGTAAGAATACCAATTTTAAGTGGCATATAATTTTTTGCTTGGGGTAGTTGCCAATGAATATAGTAGAGACCACTATCGTGCTGGCATAAGACATGCATTTCTGACCATTTTGTGTACATCCTCAAAAAATTTCCACTTAGCCATAAATTATCTTAATTGAGAAGAACAGGTAAAACATATATCCAAACCAGAAAAGACAGATTTGCACGCATGAATCATAATTTAACATCTGACCTGTCGAGACCATTTTATGGAAATAAAAGAGCAATAAATCCGAGGCAGAGATTAGCAAGATATCATTGCCAAGATATGTATAAAACAGTCAAAAGAATTCAAAATCAGACACATAAACCAATGATTTTCATAAGTTTAGTTACAATATTCTAGCCAAACTGTGTTACTAACTTAGTTTGTAATATTGCCAATTAACTTGTGCTTGAAAGCTATTACTCCAAGGCAAAATTTGACCGAAACAACATCCAACCTTGAATATTAATCTTGCTGAAAGAATATGACGGGCTATCTAAGAAAAATAGAAACATAAGGAACAAGATGTAATTTCATAGGTTTTTATTCCTACAAAGAATACCTAGGCATTCTTTCCTTTTCTGTTAACCCCTTTTTCTCTAGGGTACATTTATTTGTCACAGAGAAAGTTCAGATATAAGTATACCCACAAAATTAACACACCAGATGCATGAATGTGCACATCTGCAAAATACGTGAGAAGTCAGAAACTATTACCTTTCTCTCAAGTTCCACTATATAATTTTCAAAAAGATCTTCCCGGTCTCTGGCTCGTTCAACAGCCTTGAATCTTTCATCATTTTCAAATAAACTTTGAGCTTTGCTGAACAGGGAAAAGGTTTAGTTAGAATATTTTACAGTTTCCAAATTGAGGATAAACGAGGCCACAAATCTATTTTGTCCATATTATAGAAAGAAATTTCAACCTCCATCTCATGGATGATGTGAGTTCCTTGGACTCCTGGAAAGAAATCAAAGCATCAGGTCAAATAGAAACATTAACAGGAGGCAGAAAAGAAGATAATATGAGCCTCATGCAACATACTTCAAGCATCTTTGTGAATTCCTCCCGAGCTTTCTTCTGTCTCATGCGCCTTTCCTCCGCCTCTAGCTTTTTCCTTTGACCCAAATACTATTAATAAGATCAACATGTCAGAACAGACTAGATATAGTTATCAGATAATTTCAAACATGTATTTACAGATAAATATAAACTAAACAGCAACAGGAGGGTGAGGGAAGCAATCCAAAGTTAAAAGAATTGTATCCCATGCATAACAAAATCCAACCAGAAAGCCACTCTTGTAAGATTCTGTTTAATATTTTACCTCATTAAAGGCTTGCTTCCGCTCGCCAAGTGTCTTCAAAGCACCATACCTTTTG